AAATAAGTTGAGGGAAAATGACAAAAAACAAGGTGTTTAAAGACCACACTTCAAAAATCAGATATAAAGTATATTTAATAAAAAATCAGGTGACAATTTAATATTTTAATATTAATAATTATATTATAAATTAATATATATAATCACATTCCCAACCCTATTAAAGTCTGAAACCCTAATTCATTTCTATATCTGCGCGCGCTCTCTATCTTCTCACTTTATCCCACTTTCAAACCCACTGGCTGAAACCGCCATCGTTCTCAATTTCTTCTCCCATGACTTGTGCCGCTGCTCGATGAAGCTATTATAACCTTATTACGGCTCGTGAGTTTTTTCTTATCCATAACCTTTGTTGCAAAGAAAGCTATCGGGGAGGGATTAGGCAGCTCTTTCTAGGACGATGACTTAAGGTTGGCTAAGTAGATGGATCCGATATTGCTGGAGCTGAGGTAATGGAGAAAGCGAAGATCAGAGAGGGATAGGCAGTGGAAGCGACAGATAGAGTCCCAGCATAGGTCATCGAATTGAGTGATGGAGGAGTAAGGTTTGATGGTGGTAGAGAGAGGGAGGGTAGAAGTGGTGGGTGGAGGAGGAGGAGGTCCAAGTGATGGTTTTAGAGCAGAATTGGTGGAGCGGTGGATGTTTGCGACGGTGGTTGTGGTGGTGGAGTTGAAGCTCATGCTTTGTAAATCGTCGACTATTGTCCATCCATGGTGTTGAAATGATTTTGGGTGTGAAGATGGCGGCCACACCAGATTTGGTTGATTTTTGTTTGTTGTTGTGGTGGTTTCCATGGTGTGGTGATGTTTAAGTGGTTTTAGTGGTGGTGGTGGATCGGGCTACTGATGGTGGATCTAGAGTTGGTGGTGAAGGATTTGGCTGTAGCAACGGTGTGCTATGCGTCCTAATTTGGTGGCTGTGCTATGGAGGTGAGGTGGTGGATTTGGCTGCTTGATAGTGGATCGAGATTTTGTGGCTGTGCTGTGGAGGTGAAGTGGTGGTGGTGGTAGTGGATCTGGCGTGACGTAGTTGTGGTGCTGTTTTCTGCTATGTGTGATTTGTTTGCAATGGTAGTGGTTCTGGTGGCGAGTTGGCGCTGGTATTGATTTGTTTAAGGTGGTAGCAGTGGTTCTAACGGTGACGGTGGCGGTGGTGCTGTTGGAGGTAGTGTTGAGGTGGTGGTTGCAAGTGTTGTGCAGTGGTGGTGTCTGACGTTGGTGCTGTGTGCGGTGGTGGTCGTGGGTGGGATAAGATGAGGTGGGTGTCTTTGACCAATTATTTGGTTGGTGTGACCAATAATTGGTTAATTTTTGACAAATAAATAATATGCAACCTAAAAATTGTGAATGTGACTCACAATTTATTAAGTTGTAACCAATAAAAATTTTGATTTTGTGATCAATGAGTAATTTATGACTTATAAAATTTTCGATTCATGATCAAGAAATAACTCGTGACCTAAAAATTCTTGATTTGTGACCAAAAAATAAGTCTTGACCAATAATTTGATAAGTTGTGATCGATTTGCAATGAATAAATGAGTTGTGGGCAATAAAATTTTCGATTATTGATCGATGAATAATGTGTGACCTATGAGATTTTGATTCGTGTTCAAGAAGTAATCTACGACCTATAAAATTTTTGATTTGTGATCCAGAAAAAATTTGTGACCGAAAATTAATTTTTCATTAATTAATTAGATAATTACAACCAAATTGCATATAATTGTGTCCTTACTATATTTAATTGTTAAAATATATATTAAATAAATTAATTTATTATATTTAAATAATAAATATTTTTAATTAAATAGCTAAATACCTGATTTTTTATATTTTTTTAAACTTAAAATCTGAATTTTGAAATGTTGAAACTAGATTTAAGAATTCTTCCCATAGTGTAAATTGCCCCTAAATTTATTGAAAGTAAGAAACATACTACTGAGTTATATGGTGGGAAAAAAAATCATATTTAAGG